TGCGTGCGTGCGTGCGTGCGTGCAAATGAAGATTTAAGCCATGTGTATGATTGCCAGCATAAGATGTACATGCACATATCAAGATCATACGTATGAACATACACATACGCATACACATTCATATACATATAAATATACCATTACCTATATATATATATATATGGTCAGGCGCTCCGCGGCTCCCCCCCTCCGCCCCCATGGTCTATGATCCAGGATCCCCTCTCTCTTCCCCCTGTGGTGTGGTTGTGGGTTTGGGGCTTTGGGGTTTAGCTCAAGCTTTTGAGTTTGGGGTTTAGGGTTTGAAGTTAAAAGTTATAAGGCTGCGAGTCGACAAGAGCTTAGCGAGGGTTTGGGGTGTAGACCTTAAACCCTTGCCCTGAAAGACCCATCAGCTAGCCTCTCCTAGACCCTAAATACCCGCCCTTCCCTTCCGGATCCAGCTAGACCCCAAACGCCTTAGCACTAAAATTTTCTGTACTGGTCCTTGCAGCCTACATAGCCGAAACCCAAGGCCCTCAATCCCTCAAACCCTAAACCCTGGGCCCCAAAGCACAAGCCAACCCTAAACCCTAAACCCTAAACCCTGTTTAGGGTTTAGGGTTTAGGGTTTGCTGACAGTAGCACCTGCCGGCTCTCTCGCCGAAGCTGTCGTTCGTCCTCCTGTGGCATGTGGGCTTCAACGTGACCGAATATGGGAATATGTAGGGCCTTATCACAAAATCAGAATAGGGTTGCGGGGTTGCGGGGCATAGCATCGGGTAACTATGGTCATGGTAATCAGTCAGGCCGTAGATTATACAGTTCAGTCCCAGTACTCTTTTTTCAGAGGTGCCATGCGGGAAAGATAGTTCCAACCATATACAGGAACTTAATAGAAGTTACAGGTCTACCTGCTGCTTACGCCAGAACCCCAGCGAGCAGAAACCTCGCACAAGAAGCGCAAGCTGCAGCTGTGCAGTGCCAGGGATGTCGCCAGTGACAGGGAAGGGCACCCCCCTAAACACTAAACCCTAAAACCACCTGTGGGCCGCGCAGCACGCACTGCCTGGCATCGAATGTTGTAGTGGCTGTGTGCCAGCTCTTGAAAGTGCGGGTCGCCCTGCCGTAATGTAGGGGCCTTAATAATTAGAATAGGGTTTTGGGAGTTCCTTCTTATTATATTATGATTATAGTATAATATACCCCCAAACCCTAATCTAAGTATTATATATGATTATAGTATAGTATACCCCCGAACCCTAATCTAAATATTGTAAGGCCCCTATATGGGAGATTATACTATAATCGTAATAAGGAGC